ATAATAATCCTTATCACTTCGTTGATACGTCTCAAAGCGATTCACAGGATATATTGTAAAGTGAAGCGATGATGTATTTAGTGGGCAAAACACGCAGCCAATTGTTATATAAATATATGAATGCAATTTTCCGTTGTTGTTTTCAACGTCGATGAGACCCGCCCGCTTCTCCATCACAAAGACCATTCCACAACTTCCTTCCATCATGTTAAATTTATTTATTTAAATTTATGTTAAATAGCATTTATTTATTATTTATTTTCCCCACAAACAATGTACATGTCTGTGCTGGTGTTAGTAGCGAACCGCGTAACAAAAATAGACAATCTCAAGCAAATCCCAAACCTATTCAGATCGGATCCAAGAGAGAGGGAGACAAGAGAGAAAAATCACAATCTTGCCCATGGGATTTTGAACTTCATTAATAAGATGCTTGAAGCAGCAAGGCAACCAATCCCAAAGGCAACCAATCCCAAAGGCGTTGCAATTTTTTGGTGCACTTTATCAGGTTACAGTAAATCGCTAGAACGCGTACAAATGATTCTCTTAACAAACCGTTACACAAATATCCCGTGTGATTCCTAAACCCGCAAAGTTCAAAGTATCAAAAAAACTATCAGCTGTTTTTTTTTTACCCGGATTGAAGAAGTGATTCCATATAAAGGTATGACTCAAACTCTCGCACAGCGCACAGCTTTATTTCGCTGTGTAGTAAAGAGGTTCTTTTACACAACGGCAATAAATCTCTCATGTTCGTGTGTTGCCTGTTGGTAATTAGCAAGCGGATCGCATTATGAAATCCCACCAACTTTTAACCCCACAAGTCAAGAAAACCGCTCACGACTGGGCCAGTTTTCCTGTAACTGTCCATTGTTGTGCATCTCGAACCATGTCTTTTCAGAAGGAACTTTCAGGACAACAACAAGACTATGGACAACAGTAATCAACAACACTGACAATTGGCAATCAGTCTCCGGTATCAACTGTCACGAGGCAGAGATATCGGAGAAATCCATGTTGGACGTCCCCCTTAAAATTCAAATACAAACAGGCATTGATTGACCTGATGTTCTGTCATATTTAGCAAAGACACATGTGCCAGAGCAATCACTGCAGCCACCCGTTTTCTGATTTATGATAATAATAAATAACAATAAATTAAAGCAAAAATCTGGTACAGCGCCTTTTGCGTCAGAAGGACATCTCTCTCAAAGCGTTTCATAGTGTTGACCGTAAAATGGCAGACTGGTTTGCTCACGGAAAGATTTATTCCCCCAAATCACAACCTTTTGACCCCTGAAAATTGAAGATGGGAATTGGAATGGACTCCACGAATCCTGGTCTGGTCATATTTGCTGCATTTAAAGAGTTTCTCCTGCCCTCCCCCACACGCAGTAACCTCATGAATAACTGAGCCAATTGTACTTGTCTAATTACATTTTAAGTTTCTAGTCTCATGTTATTTATAATTTAGCGCACAAGCAAAACAATTGTTCGACTCAGTAAGTGAAGCAAACCAGAGGCCACGATAACACTTGGTGCAACGTACAATACCCACCTCCGAGTTGAGAATTACTGAGATTAAGGCGAGAAGCGTGAACCTAAACCCGAAAATTCTCCAGTGACAAAATTACTTTCGTATGAGATTTAACAAGATCACAAGACGGGTTTCGATGATGAAAGCCCTTTTGGCCCATCTGATTTCATCCCAGTGTCCTGGCCTCAACCCCACTTCCCAGACCCGGTTCCACTTGTTAATTACCCTCGGAGTAAAAAAAAACAAGGCTGGCCGTAAGCCTTCATGATTACGTTTTTAAGGCATAATTGGCTAAACTTTTAAGGCATATTCGGTTCAAGTTTCATACAAATACCCCCCCGCCCACCTTGCTAAAAACATGGAGTTTGATATGTAGCCCAGTCTCTCATAATTCCCCACATTTAAGAATCTTGCAAAATTCTTTAAATTTTTCACAATCTTAGGGCAATGACATTGAGGCAAAAACAAGTCTCTTTTGCTCACTGTGTTGAGCTGAACGTACAGTTTCCTGTTTCAGAGTGGCGAGAGCGGCAGGTTAGAGAGGTGATCTCTAAATCAAGGCACTTTATGACGACCTAAAAGTCTCAGATAACACGGGGCAGTGCTACAAATGGGAAGAAAAGTGACGATTCCTCTGCCCAGTTTCACAGCAGCAGCAACAGCAGCAACGGAAACAATTCACAGATCCTTCTTTTTTGTACTTTGTGCAAAACACTCAACCAAGTTTCCTTCACTTTTTTGGGGGGTGGGAGGTGGGGAGGGTGATGGTGGGGTGGGTGGATGGGTGGTGTATTTTGCGGCATTTCATTTGCAGATTTCTTCATAAGAAATACCGTGAAGAGGTAATGCAAGTTTTCTTCAATTTATTTCTATTTTCATAAAATCCTTCCTAGTATAAATGTCGATTTTCAAACCCCGGGGGTTTAACCCTGAGATAAACCGCGGCCCCAGGACCCCACACAAGTCAGAAAAAAAAACGTTTAGCCCTTCATTTCCTGGTAATCTAAAAGAGCAACAAAATTATTCCCCAGATTTTAATTCACCACAAATGGGGTCGTTTTACCATTTGGATCAATTAACCTCCAGTGAATTATTTTTGCTCCTTATAAAGTAATGGCTGCAATAAATAGATTAAGGTGTTTTCTTTTTAACACTCGCGCACACACACACACGCAGACATATACAGAACTCACAGAGTTGTGCGTTGGAAAGCATAAGAAATTTGATTGATCCTGGAGCTCCCAACTTCCACATAAATCTGGGGACATCTGCCAACCCCTCCCTACCCCCCAAATATCAACCTGTCCGAGGAGACAATTAGGCCGTTTTATGCCATTTCAGTTGGAAATCTCACTTCAGCAAACATCAATAGTCATTGATGAAAGAGTTACACTCTGCCTGATTAATGTATAATGATTTTCGTATAATTACTTTAAATGTTCTTGTCAACTGCGTCCTGTCAGTTCTGCAACATAAACACACCATCAGAACTTGATTACCTGTGTAGGATAATTCTACATCTTAAAAGTCACATTTCCTCCTCTTTGGAAGAATGGGTATAACATACACTCTTATTGTTAATAATAATAATAATAATCATCCTTGCATTTAATGTAGAGCCTTTCACATTGGGAGGACATCTCAAAACGCTTCACAGGATATATTATAAAGTCTAGTGACTGCGTATTTTGTAGGTGAACGCGACAGGCAGTGGTGGATTGAGTGATCAAATGATTATTTTACCCTCGGAAAGCGATCCACCAATTGACCAGCAACCGGGTTCCTACTTACTGCTGGGTAAACAGAGTCGTGTGGAGTAGGGAAACTTCCCTAAGGTTTTTGCTCCGTCCGGGAATCGAACCCGGGTCCTCTTGCTTGTGAGGCGAGTGCGCAAACCACTAACCAGGACTCCACGTCTACAGAATAGCCACAAGCTGACCTCTAAACCACGGGGTCAGTTTCAGAAATGCGTTCACCATATCCGTGCTGCCAAATTCAAGACCCTCCCTACAAAATACCAAGGTCAATTAGAAGCATTAATACACACGTCAAGGATTCCAGCAGCCAATTGCAATAAGTGGCAACAACAGTGCATGATACAATAGCCAAAGGATGCAATCATTGGGTAGGACATTAATGAATGACAAATGCAAAGGGGGTGTGTGCTACCTTCCTCCACCCTCATCCCCACAGACTACAATCATCCCGGACCAGTGTCTACTTTGTTCAGCTCAAACCCATGACCTTAAAAATCAAATGGTTTGAAAGCAAAAATGACATTATTTGCACACAAGTCACAGTGCTGAAGCTCACAGGGACAGAACTTGTGGGCATTCTTTGACACGTTGCATTCCTTAGGTTAACACAAGGAATACGTTAAGAAATGCCGCAATCTTTGCCCGCAGTTTCTAACCCCAATAATATATTCCAGTCTGTTCTCTTCCTATCTGAATAATAATTAACAATAATGAATAATAATTAGCAATAATAAATACTAATGCTTGCATTTTAACGTAGCGCCTTTCACGTCCTGCAGGGCGTTTCAAAGTGCTTCATAGGATTTTACAGTAACGTGTAGTGACTGCATATTTTGGAGGCGAACCCAGCAGCGAATTTGATACAGCGACGTCCCTCCAACAGCCATGAAGTGAGAGTGACTTATAATAACTGGTAAGGAAGCTGACTGCTGCAGTCAAGGATTTGCATAGATTAAAATAGCTGTTGGGAGCAGCAGTGCTGACGTTAAAGACCCTGCAGTGATATTGGCAAAGAGCAAAGGGAGTATCTCCCTGTTCCCTCCAGATAAATTGGTCGTTCACATCCCGGCTGTTTGTGGACAACATTACGTTTAACAGTAATTACACGCGAGGCTTTGTAGGCGCTGTGTCAAACACAAGGGTTTTAATAATAATAACCATAATAATCCTTGCATTTGATATAGAGCCTTACCATAGCCTCTATAGCATCCTCAAGACGTCTCAAAGCACTTCACAGAATATAACGTAAAGTGAATTGACTGTACATCTTGTGGGAGAAAGACGGCAGCCAATTGCGCCCAGTGGTGCCCCACAAACAGTGGTGGTCTGTTGTTTGGGGGTTTTGTGACACTGTTGCCAGATCCGAGCACCACTTTCCTATAACCAACTCATCGTTCCTTTTCTTTTTAAAAATGGCCTTTGATTTTTTTTTAAATTTAATAAATAAACAAAAAAAATAAGATGTTTGGGTTCATTTAGAATCGTCGTTAACAGCATTTCTTAAACGAAGAGAAGGAAACAAGAGAGGCAGCGGCCAGGGAGGCAAGGGGAGCGGGGCAAGGCGAGGGGTGGGGGGGGGCAGGATGAGGCAGAGGGCGGGGCAGGGCGAAGCGAGGCAGGTCGGGGATAGGCGGGTGGGGATAGGTGGGTGGGGGGGGGCGCGAGCGAGGCAGCGGGGTCCTTGGCCAAATGAACCATCTCTCACCCGTTACCTTTCAGTTGAGAGGCCAACAGCGAGGGTCAGTGTGGATGGGTTGTGACTGGACTAACCAGGTAATGGGCCCAGTTTGTCTCAGACCCAGATGCTCACTGACCCACCCCCAACCAGAACATCTCCCCTGCCTTCCGCCCTGCTCTCCATTTGGGCCTCATGGAACTCGGGTCCACCTACTCCACTGACCCCCAACAGCTGGGTAGTGGACAGGCAGGCCGGAGCCTCTGTAGCCTGGATTATACTCGTGCCAGAGCACCAGAGGTGAGTGCTTTAACTGCTGGAAGTAACCTTCAGCTCACCCCCAATGGCACAGATATAACCACACTTAAATAAAAAAGGCGCACTACCCCTTTATGAGGCCAATACGACACCGCACCTCAATGAATTGGAGCCTAAGCTGCTTCACTGCCCAATGCATGGACTTGCCATACACCCCGGAAAGGGACAGAGCTTTCAATTTGGGAGATACATTCATTGCAAGAAAGAAAAGTTCTTGTGAAAAGGACCCGTTGGCTTATTTGATCTGATCCATCCACACCTGCCCAACCGTAGTCTCATTGAGGCATTGATCCCTTTCCTAGAAGGGTTCCAGTGTCCTGGCCTCAACCAGGAACCTTTTTCCAGTCATTAACTAATTCATTCATTAATTACCCTTCAAATGGAAGGTGCTGTGTGTCTTCAGAAATCGGGTTGCCTGGTGGGGAGAGGTGGTGTGGTTGGCTTGGTGGGCGTCCATCGCCCAAATCAGTCTTGATTCTCCCGTTCGAATGCCTGTTGTCTCTTCATCTTTGGGGAGTGGTTAGGCCAGTACAGAGCCAGGGAGAAGAGGGCAATGATGATGAGGTTGATGGACAGAGCCATGCTCACCGCCCCCAGCGTCCCCATGAAGGAGGGCAGCGTCGCCTGAGCCGTGAGCCAGGCGTGCCGGGACCTCATGTCGGCCAGGATAGCCTCCATCTGGAAATAGGTGCCGATGATGGCGCATATGTGGAACAGCTGGTGGCTGTGACCTGGAACAGACATGTTTGGGGAGGGGAAAGGTGGTCACAGAGTGTATGCGAGTCACACAGAGCGTGTGTTGCCTTTGGTCACCCTCCCACCTCCTACCCTCCCTACCCTCGGCGCCTCTCTTCACCCCAATCCCTGGAGCTCGGGCGCAAACCTTTGATTGTCCAGTGCCTTGGGACGTCTCCTGGCATGAAAGGTGCTGTGTAATTGGTATTTGTTGTTATAATAATTCTTGCATTCGGTATCGGGCTATAACAACAACAACTTGGATTTATATAGCGCCCTCCACGCTGGACACCATCTCAGAGCGCACTTAATTCACGTCAGGAGGACATCTCAAAGCATTTCACAGGGTTTGCTGGTGTTTGTAGGCAAATGCAGCAGCCAATTGCGCATCTTTAACAACTGGGGAAAGCGATAGAAGCCCCCCAGTTTCTCCACGCTCCCACCCCCCCACACCCACACTTACCGATGTAGTCGAAGCATCCTGGAGCCAGGCGCTCAGGTAAGTGTGTTGCGTAGAGGAAGCTGGTGAGGAACGCAAGGGTGACGTGCTGGTAGTGAAGTGAGAGGGTTTCATTGTGAGTACAGCCAGAACCCGAGCAAAGGAACAGCTACACAGAGAGGGAGAGAGAGAGAAATCAGAGAATCAGTCACTGCCTGTCACCGCGTGCGATAAGCTTTCTAAGTAATAATCCTTACGCACGGCGCCTCATCATGTCTTTGAAATACCTCAAGTGCCTCACAGGAATTACTGTAAGGTGTAGCGATTTGCGCAGAGCGGTGTTCCCACAAACAGCCCGGACTCTGAGGGGGATTGCGTGCGGACGATGGTGAAGTTTGGTCACTGTGCTGTGAGCGAGCAAACCCGCGAGGTAAGCACAGGACAAGGTGTGACTGGTCTTGGGACCACCCTCCCTTCCCCCCCCGTCCCCCGCCCCCCGCACACACACCTCTCCCTTGCCCCTTGCCCCATGGGACCACGTTTCTCGTAGGGGATTCTGACTGAAAACCCACCCTGTAAAAGAGAGGAATGTTGTCGAACAAGTAGGGATAAGCGAAGGCCAGCACTCGCAGCAGTTTGCACAGCTTGGGTTGATCCAGTTCAGGGAACCTGAAACAAGAGAAGGAGCGAAACGAAGGCATCAATCCGTGCAGAACCTCCATCCTCGTCCTGAGAGTTTGGAAACATTACCGGGAGAGAGAACAAATAAAACTTATTTTTTGTTGGAAGCGAACCGGAGAGAGAGAAGGGAAACGGCTCTTTCTCACTCGCTCATTCGCTCACGCGCCTTTGACGTGCCGGCATCTTCCGAGAGAACACGGGCTCGACAGGTCATGCAAAGCAGTGAGGCAAGCTGACAATGTTATATAATCCGTGCATTTGATGTAGCGCCTCATCACATCATTGAGACATCTCAAAGCGCTTCACAGAATATACTGTAGAGTGGATGGACTGTGTATTTTTGCTTTTTTGGAGGGATTTTTACCCCCGGAAAGCGACCCACCAGTTGAGTAAGAACCGGGTTCCTAATTACTACCAGGAAAGCAGAGGCGTGTGGAGTAAGGAAACTTGCCTAAAGTTTAACCCTAAGGTTTTCCGATGTGAAAAGCACCGGTAAACGTCATTTACTGTTGTTGCCGATCGACAAAGCCACTAACACACGCGTGTTATTCACTGTTGAGGACAGCGATCGATGGTTCAGCTCTTGCATGCCCAATGGGTTGAAGATCAAATGATTTTGTGATGAAATGGTGCTACAAAGCTCCAGCCTCAACCAGGGCTGTCGTGCGCGGTGAGCAAGAGCGGGAAGGAAGAGAGCGTTGGTGGCGTGAGGGGTTAACACGACTCAAGCATGGAAGCCGGAGGAAGGAGGTGGGAGCAAAGCAGGCGATGATTGACCCACAAACTGTTTCTCCTTTACCTTTCCATAACCTCGTGGTTATAGCGAACGAAAGGGAAGCCCAGTCTAGTGTTACCCACAGGAGGACAGCGGAGGGAAGGAAACATCAGGTTCACAATTAATAACACACCCACAAAGCAGAGAAAACACCAGCGTTCTGTACAAGCCACAGACGGGCAACGCCGTCTCTCCTCACCACTGTCCTGTACTAGAAAGCATCTCAGCCATCCTTCCAAAAAGATGCTCTCAGTCTCCCCCCCCACCACCCCCCCCACCCCTGACCTGACCCCTGCAGTACCACACGTGGCCACCAGAGGACGCATCCCAGCAGCGCGATGGGTCGGAAGCAGAGAATACAGGTTCTGGCGCAGATTGTGGAGGAAAATCAACATTAATAAATAAGCTTTACGTTTGATACAGCGTGTGATTACACCGCCGAGGCATCTCCCAGCGCCCCACGGGACATACTGTAAAGTGGCTTGTGACTGCGGGCGGGCGAACACAAGTACACGTTCACCCACCAAACGGTACCCTCCGTTTCTGTGTTGGTGCGGTCAGGGGGCAAGGCTGAGGCCGTAGCCGGTTGGCGATGGCTCGGTTGGAGTCTGTCTCTGTTTGTGGTGCTGTGACCGGCACCGCACGGAGTCTAACAATGAGCCTTCCAACCAACCAACACCAGGAGGTTCCCCGTGAAAGAATTGCGAAAAAAACACGGCTTCAAAAATTTAGACCAAATCCAAGAGTTTTCCTCAATCTCAAGTCTTAAGACAAAAAACAAGACCCTTTGGGTTGAGACGAGGCAGGTTCCAAGCCACTGTCTGGAGAAGCCAAGAGCTGAGCAGAGCTGTAAACGTGCCACTTACACAGGCCAAAAAAGAGGCACAAACGAGCTAATGGGTGGGTGGGACCGAGCGAGCAGAGACTGTAATCTAATCCAGGCCTCTCCTCTGACTGCTTTATGAGCTACAAAGACGGTTTTGTAATGGGAGCAACTGAGACCCTGAGATTCAGTTACTGCTTGTAATCACCCACCCTCCCTCCCTCCCGCCCGCCCGCCCGCCCGCCCGGCCATCTGCTTTCCTCCTTTTCAATACATGAAACTCAATGCAATGTTTCAGTGAAGTGAGGGGTTGGGGCTGGACCTGGGGTTCTTACCTGGAGTAGCAGGAGAGAGCAGTGCTCACCACGGTGTTGAAGACGGCCATGGGGACAAAGTAACCATGGAAACTGCCGTCAATCCATTTCTCGGGCATCACGTAGGCTCCATAGACAATGGCGGAACCTGAGAATGATGGGAAGATGTGGGGTCAGGCTGTGTCTAAACCTCTGCTTTCATACAAATGGTCAGTGGGAATCTGGAACTGTCTCTCTCTCCCCCTAAAGCCTGTGGATTATGGCTGATCCATTCACATTTTCAAGACTGAGGTGTAGAGATGTTTGTTAGGTCAGGGGACCAAGGGATATGGGGCAAAGGGCGGGTAATTGGAGTGGAGGTTCAGATCAGCCATGATCTAATAGAATGGCAGAACAAGCTCGAGGAGCTGAATGGCCTCTTCTTATTCCTATGTCTATCATGTTTCTTGTCTCACTCTGTACCTTAACTTTAGCTTCGACCTATAAGATGGCATTGTGATTAGTTTCCCCCCCACTTCACTTCGTAAGTAATAAATGGGATCCACTCTGTAGCCAAGAACAAGCACCTGCCTTCACCCAAGGCAATGACTCAGAATATTTCATAACGGTGGTGGGGGTGGGTGGTAGTTGGATGCCGAGCAGGAGGCTGGGGAACAGAGGAGAGGTCACCTTTGGAAATGGCAGAAACAATAACAAAGACTTGTATTTACATGGTGTGGGGTGGCGGAGTTTGACGCCGAGTTATGGAGAGAAAAGGGGAGGTGTCCCCCGGCACAGTCAAACAGGAAGGACTTCAGGTGCGATCTGAAAGAGTGGGGGTGGGGGGAGGGGGAAGGATTGAGGCAGGGAGCTCCAGAAAGCATGGCCGCCGATGGTGGAGCGAGGGGGTAGTGACAGTGAAAGGAAGGCAGAGACACTCACCCAGACTGTAGATGCTGAGAGCCCCATAGTCAAAGAAGAAGCAGATGTGCCGAGCGCGGGTGGACATGGAGCTGAAGGTGTGAGCACAGCTGGAGGTGAAGGGGTAGATACAGCTGGAGAGCATGAAGACCAGCAGCGGCCATGTGTAGGATTCGTTCCAGAAATCCAGGGTGTAGGACAGTGCCAGCAGGTTCCACAGGAAGTACCTGCGAGAAGATCACGGGTCAAAGCTACAGAGAGGAAACTCACCCAAGACGAGAGGCTTTAAATCAATTAAAAAAAAAATAATCATAATAATAATTTGGCCACTTCAATTCACGAGTGTCTGTGGGACACTGCTGTGTGCAATTGGGCCCCGTTTTTCGCCCACAAATACGCTCCACTTTGCAACAACATATCCTGTGTTGCGCTTTGAGACGTCTCAACGACATGATAAAGCGCTATATCAAATGCAAAGATTATTATCATCATTGTCATTATTATTATCATCAGCCCTTTCAGTCCTTTTACTTACCAACCCCTCTCCTTCCCAGCCTCAAACTCTGCCAACCTCGCCCCGCAAGCCCTCTCCCTCACCCTCCTCCCGCTCTGCCCGCTCCCCAGTCCGTGCCGGTTCTTTGCTCACCACGTGGGCAGGAAGTGAGTCCAGATGTTGACGGTCTCGTTGGTCATCTGGAAGAGGCTGAGAACACAGTCGGCGGCCGAGCTCCGGGGGTGCCTGTAGCCGAAGATGATGCTGTCTTCATGGAAAACCTTGTGCGGGATCACAGGGATGAGTGACCACCATCATCACACAATAACCATATAACAATAATCCTTACATTTGGTGCAGCTCCTTATCAGGTCTTCCAGACGCCTCAAAGCGCTTCACAGAATATACTGTAAAGTGCAGTGACTGTGCATTTTGTGGGTGCAACATGGCAGCCAATTGCGCACAGCAGCGTCCCACACAAACAGTCGTGGATTGAGTGACCACAATTGTTTTCAAGGGATTATTACCCCCAGAAAGCGATCTGCCAATCGACTAAGAACCGGGTTCCTGTTGACCGCTGGTTACACAAGGTGGAGTAAGGAAACTTCCCTAAGGTTTCACCCTGCTCGGGAATCGTACCCGGGTCCTCTCGCTTGCGAGGCGAGTGCTCCAACCACTACACTACGTGACCACACATCACGTGCTGTTAATATATATTCCACAGTCAGTAAAATGCTGGAAATCCTGATTACACCATATTCCTTATTACTGGAGTGTCTAATGTATGGGTTGGGCCAACTGCCCGTGTGCATAGTTTACGACATATGTTAACGATATGTAAACCCGCGCACAGAGGAAAATAACCAGTTGTCCCTCGGACTGAACCCCTTCTCCCCTCCCCCCCCCCCCCCCAGGCACAGACACAAAACATTAGTTGTGCATCAGTTAGCACATCTCGCAAATTTGCCCCCAGTGCAGTGTCTCAGGGAAGGAATGTTTTGACAGTGAAATTGCTCAGCTGTGACGGTGAGCGAGGCAGCGGGGCGGGGAGGAGTGAGAGGGGGCACCCAGGGGGCTTGTTACTAACAGTCAGGGCTCCTGGGATTTGGGAGGGATGCGGGTGGTGGGGGGGGGGGGGGGGGAGGAGGGTAAAGGTCAGATCTCAATGGTGTTAATATGCTGAGATCAGCCTTGTTTCCATCCCACTTCACAAACAGTCAGCAGCTCTGGTTCAAACCCTGAATACAAGTGGAGATCATAGGCAGAGAGAGGGACAGGCAGAGGGCACAACAACAACAACAACAAATGACATTTGTATAGCGCCTTTCACACGGGGTGGACGTCCCAAAGCGTTGATGTGACAGGCGAGAGAGGGTGGGGCAGGTGGGGGTTAGTGGCAGCACTTACTTTAGGCACTTGATTGATGCTGAACAGACGAGGTAGCTTTAAGCTCAGCATCCCGGAGGTCTGTGGGGCAGACGGTCAGTCACTGTGTCTCTGGTTCGGGCTCCGTTGCTCGCTCGCTCGCGCTCTCCCTCCCTCGTCGCCAGTTCCCACTCCCGCCGTTTGCTCTCGGACGCTCGTTGGGGACTGGAGGGAGGAGTGGTTGGGTGGGGAGGGGGGGGGGTGGTTCTGTACTGGGGAATCAACACATCACCCATAACAGCGTAAGTAATAATAATTATAATAATAATCCTCCCCTCCACCCCCTCCAGTTCTGACGAAAGTTCATCGACCTGAAACGTTAACCCACTTTCCTCTCTCTATAGATGCTGCCTGACCTGCTGAGTGTTCCCAGCCACTCGCGCTTTTATTTTGTAGCTGAGGCTGGCTGTTTACCGAGGCTGGATTTCCCTGGCATCGCTCAGTGCGAGGCGATGATTAACTTATTACTGCGCTCACTCAGGCTGACTCCGTGCTCCCTATACACACACACACACACGCAGTGTTTCCAGGCTGCCTGGACTTTAATGAGAATGGAGTGATAACCGGCAGAATTCTTTTTCTTTACAATACAAATGCCGCGCTCTGCCTCGCCCGCTCTCAACCTGACCTCCCAGCGCAGAACCCCGGCCAGTCCACGCACCACACATCGGAATTTCCGAGGAATGTTCCAGAATTTTCCACCCCAGATTAAACGTCGACTCGGGAAGCAAAAAGTTACCCCGAGCCAACGAGCTGCTGACCAGCCTGGCACTGGTTAATGTGACAGTCAGCGAGAGACAGAGAGAGAGTGTCGCTCGCCCCCTCGCTGGGGTCTGTCAGATCATCGAACCTCAAATTCGTTACAGCTCAGAAACTGTTTCTTCAGCCCAATACAGACCCCACAGCCCCCCAGAAGCTAATCCTTAGCCATTACACCCCAAAACTCTGCAACTTCCTCTCTCCGCCTTGCGCCTTCCTTCCCCATCTTCAAGCCACCCCTGAACACCATCTTCTTCGACCTGTGCCAACAGTCAACTGCACCCCCCCGGCTCAGCATCGTGCTCCATCACTGTGAAGTGCCCTGGGACGCCACCCTACACGAGGAAGCGCTATATAAATGCAGGTTGTTGTTATAATCACACTCTCCCTCCCCACACACACACACACACAGTCACTCCACACTTCCCCCTATTCCAGCAAAAAAGAAATCCTGTGAAGGGCTTTGAGACGTCCTTCCTAACGGTGAAAAGATTATTATCAATATTATTAGGATTATTATTACCTAATTCGCCTTTTCCGAAAGACTTAACATCGGTGGAGCGCCTTTCACAATGCAAATGTCAATACTTTGGGAAAAGGGGAATTAGGTAACAAACGGTTTAACAAACGGTTTGTGAAGCGGAGAATTGCAGCCCTCAGTGCACACCCACCCCCCCACCCCACAGACACACACACCACAACAAACACACCACACCCAGACCACAACAAACACACCACACACACACCCTGCAACACCCTATTTCTCTTACCTGCCCTTTAATCTGTTCCTTTAAACTTTGCAAATTTGTAAAAAAAAAGAAGCACACAAAACGCTCCTGTGCTTTATTTACCCGCAGCCCCCGGGGACATCCCCCCCACGGGAAAGGCGTTTCACAAATGTAATTTGTTGTTGTTGAGCCGCAAGGTGAGCGCACAGGTGTGTCAGACGGGTGACTGAGAGAGTGTGGCTTAGAAGCAGTGGCTGGGCTCGGCGCCCGGGACATTTCTACACTGGGTGGGGACAGCGAGGACTGGTAATACTGGTCGCACGGCTCAGTGATGGCACTGCACCTGTTGCCAAGGGGCTGACGGTTCATGTGACAATCAATGAGAGACTGAGAGAGAGCGCGAGAGAGACTAACGGACGGAGCTGGAATCACAATGGGACGCTGCTGTGCGCAACCGGCTGCCGCGTTTCGCCCACAAAACACACAGTCACTTCACTTTACAGTGTATCCTGTGAAGCGCTTTGAGGCGCATCTCAATGACGTGATTAAGCGCTGTATCAAATGCAAGGATTATAATGATTGTTATAATGACTTGCGTGTGCACACACTCACACGCGCATGCACACATGCGCGCACGCACGCACGCACACACACACACGCGCACGCACACACGCACACACACGCATGCATGCACTCTCTCACTCACACACACAGAAAAATCCTGTCTGACGAGCTGCCACCTCTCTGTTGCCAGCTCCGTTGCTGGGCCCTGCTCACCTCCCCACCCACCTGGCTTTGCCGGCTCTGGTGCAGGTGGAGAGCGAGCGGGAAGCAGGTGGAGAGAATATTCCAATTCTCCGGAGAGCGGGATTAACCCCGGCACCTCACGTGGAGAATAACACTTACTGTATTTTTATTTTCTCTCTCTCGGGTCTCACTCATGCGGAAACCCATCGAGAGCGAGAGAGAAGAGGGAAAGCACAGGGTTTGATGATAATATAATAATAATTCTTGCATTTGATACCGCGCCTTATCACGTGCTTGAGGCGTCTCAAAGCGCTTCACAGGATATACTGTCAACTGGATTGATGGTGTATTTTGTGGGTGAAACCTGGCAGCCAGTTACGCACAGCAGCGTCCCCACAAACAGACGTGGATGGAGTTGTGGATTTGAAGATGGGGAGGGAGGGGTGGGGTCCGTGGGGGAATATAGGACTGAATATCCTAGCAATAGGCAGGAAACTAACTGTGACTGAGTCTAACCACCACAGCGCTCGCTCCTTCAGGCAAAACACAGCCAAACAAATGCTGTCATTTTATCAGCTGGTAAAAGGCAAATCTAAGAACCTTAACAACAACAAGATTTCATTTATAGAGCGCCTTTCACGTCGGGAGGACATCCCAAGGCGTTTAACTCCAGCATCTGACCAACTCACAGTCCCAGCGAGGGTCAAGGTTGGAAGTTAAAGGGAGGCTTGGATTTAAATCAGTGTCATGGCTCACTGCAAACCCTCCGTCAGACACCGAGGGGGAAGGACAGCAGGAGAGAGGGAAGGAAGAGAGAAAATAAAGGCGACAACTTGTATTTATGCAGCGCCCTTCACCCGGGGCAGTGTCTCCGAGCGCTTAACAGAAAAGTGTGGTTCGACGCATAGCTGGAAAGTTGGGGTGGGGGGGGGGGGGCGGTGGTTGGGGAAGGTTACCAAAGGCACGGTCGAAGGGTATTTCAAAGAGAGAGAGAGCGAAAGAGAGAAAGAAAGAATGAAAGTGTTGGAGAGACAGCAGACGTTCGTGTTTTCCTCAGCAGTGAGTGACTTACTTACCTGCTCTCTCTCTCTCTCTCTCTCGTCAGGTAAACGCTCTCCTGCTTTCAGGGCGCTGCTGCCAGTGTTATTTAGAAGTGAGTGTGTTTGCGGGTGTCAGTGTGTGCGAGAGACAGAAAGTGTGTGAGTGTGAAGAGTGTGTGTGTGTCACAGAGAGTCTGCATGTGTGTGTGTGTGTGTGTGTGTGTTCGTATGTGAAAAAGCGAGTGTGCGAGAGTGTGTGTCTGTGTGTGTGAGACAGTGTGTGACCGTGAGGGTCTGTGTATCTGTGTGTGAGAGAGCCTGTGTGGGGGTGTGTGTGTGTGTGGGTGTGCAAAAGAATGTGTGTGAGGCTGAGTGTCACTGAGAGATTGGGAAAGAAGGAGTGAGTTGAGGGAGTGTGAGAGTTTGAAAGAGAGCGAGAGAGAGCAGATACAGTTGATTTACAAACTTCCTGCTCTGCCTGCAGTCAGCCTGACACTGCGAGCTGCTGGCGCGGTGCTGATGGGAGGGGAGCAGTCAGTGGGTATTAGTGCAAGAAAGAAAGGGCGAGTGAAAGAGGGTGTGTGTCTGTAAGTTGAGACAAGGCGGAGGGTGGGAATGGAGCGAGGGAGGGGGGAGAAAGAGGGAGGGAGGGAAGGAGAAAGGGGGAGGGAGGGAGGGAGCGCTTTTAATGATCACAGCACCATGAACATGGAGACGAGTTAACCACAAGATCCACTACTTTGAGATTGTGCAATTGTACGGTTGATTATTCTAACCTTCCCGGCTTCGGCCGCTACGAAATAAAATCACCAGCAACAATGGGTTAATAATTAAAACCGGGCCGGCGCTGATTGTCCACAAAGCCGTGTTTTGTTATATAATCGCCCTTGCCATTCAATACAATGTCGCCAAGTGCTTCACAGGGAATCACTGTCAGATTTACTGACTGTATTTTGTCGGGAGACAGTTTCGGGGCAGAAACCCACAAACAGCCCCACAGCCTGTGGGTGACTTTTATCTGGAGTCCCGTAGCTCAGTGGTTAAAGCCTCGCCTCGCGAGTGAGAGGACCCGAGTTAATCCCTGGACGGGGCAAAATGTTGGGCAAGTTTCTTTACTCCACACACACACACACACGCCTCTGGTTAAGCTCTGAGACGCTACCCTGTGTGGAGGGCGCTATACAAGTGCAAGTTGTTGTTGGTGTTGTTATTGGTTACCAAGCAGTAAGGAGGAACCCAGTTTTAGCCCAATTGGCGGATCACTTTTCCGGGGGTAATAATCGCTTACAAAAGATATTTGGTCCCTCCATCCACAGCTGGGCACCACCGGCTTCCGCGTTTCGCCCCCAAAACCAAACAGTCACTCCACTTTACGGTGTATCCTGTGAAGCGCTTTGAGACGTCTCGAGGACGCGATAAGGCGCTGTATCAAACGCAGGGGTTATTATTATTATTTTACTGTTATGTTTCAACGTAATAAAATGCTGAAATACTTTCTTCCCTCTTGGTCTCTTTTAAACTCTCCCTCCCTCCCTCCCTCTCTCTTTTGTAAAATATTCCCACAAGATCAATCAGATTTCTGATTAAAGAGTCGTGTTTTCTTCCTCACTGTAATGTCTGGCAGCCCCCGGCAGGCACACCGCCAGCCCTGATTTGTTTAATCATTGCTATTTTCCAACGATTCTCAGATGCGCGAATCACACGCTAACTGAGACTCGGCAAAAATAGAGACTGAGAGAAGCAGAGTTCAGAGATTTCACCA